CTCATCTGAACAGAACAACTTTTTCCATGCGGCCTCAGAATCTTCAAGGTGCGTTTTTGGCAAAGCTCAGTGGTGACTGCATGTGGCCTTTCTTGAGGAGCGGCTTTTTTTCTTGCAACCCTCCCATACAAGCCACATTAGTGGAGAATTTGTGATATTGTTGTCACATGCACACAATGACCTCTCATAGATTCCTGCAATGCTTTGCTGTAGGACTCTTAAAAGCCACTCTGACCAGTTTCCTTCTGGCTCTTTTATCCAGTTAGGAGAGATGTCCTGATCCAGGGAGGGTCTGTGTTGCACCAAATACCTTCCACTTCTTAAAAAGAGACTTCACTGTGCTTCTAGGCATTCATAAAGCCTTTTAATTTTTTTGTATCCATCTCCTGACTTGTGTCTGTCCTCAACTTTATCCCGGAGATGTTTTGACAGTGCCTTGTCAGCCTTAGTTGTTTGCTTCAGTTGCATTACCAGTGAAAGAAATGCTCCAGGAAAGCTATTTTCATGCTGAGATAATCAAAATGACCACAGCTGATCACAGTTGAAAGTCAAATGGCTCTGTGTGCGATTGAGAAGGTGAATACCTACACCTGATTGAGTTTACAAGTCATTTTTAGAAGGGAGTGATCCTTTTTCCAACTCAGTGATTCCGTTTTTGAAGTTTTAATTTTTCTCTGACATGTTGATGTGATATCTTTCACTTGGATGTTATAAGTTGCAGTGAGTAAATTCATCTGGACAAAACAAAACCGTCCTCATTTCAGGCTGCAAATCAACAAAATGTGATTATTTTACATGTGGGCGGTTATTTTCTACACCCACTGGTTACTGCAAAAAGATCAAATTCTCAACTGTAAATATGAGAAAATTACAGGAGGAAACCAGACCTGATATAAGTGGCATATGGCTGACCGAAATTGTGAAACACAGATGCAGTGTAAAGTTACAACTACAATGTTAACAACGAATTAGTAGCATATATTTTCCAGCATGCTGTACAATCTAAGCACTCACTTGTAATAGACAAGCTTGTTAGTAAAAGTAAAACTCCTGTTGGGAAGCTTTGAACCTAACCATATTGTAAAATTCCACTGTAAGGGCTCATGTACACTGCAGCTGATAAACTCATGTTTAGGAGCTGTTCAGCGTTTTTTTCAGCAGCCCCTGAACTCTCCCTAATATTTTCCTATGTGTCCATGTACACATCTTTGTTTACAATCATTAACAGTCATTTTTTTTAATGCAGAAAACATGCGTTCAGCAGTCGATTTTATCAGCGTTTCAAACGCAAAACGCTTGTAAACGCAGCTAAACAAGGCAAATTACATTTATAAGCGTTTGAAAATTTTTTGTAACTCTTCCAGTTCCCAATGCTGTCCAGAGCCCTTTTCATCATGCAAAATGCATGAAAAGAATTTTTCAGGTACTCGGATGGGTAAAACACTAAACACAGGATGTTCCTACCAAACTTGTTACACATTGTAATGACCAATTCACACCTCAGACCTCTCCCACCCTTGGAAACAAAAGAAATGTTAATGAGCAACTCACACCTAATTATCTCAACACATACTGCTGTCTCTGCTTCTACTCTCTGTATTTCTCTGAAACAGTCTGAAATAGTTAATAATTTACCACTTTTCAGTGCATTCTGGGCATTTCCTCGATCCCCTACAGTCCGGCTTCCGTCCCCTATACTCCACCAAAACTGCCTTACTCAAACTCTCCAACGACCTGCTAACCGCCAAAGCTAATGGCCACTATTCAGTGCTCCTACTCCTTGACCTCTCCGCAGCCTTCGACACAGTCGACCACCCCCTCCTCCTCAAAAAAACTACACTCCCTTGGCCTTTAGAGATTCTGCTCTCTCCTGGCTCTCATCCTACCTGTCACAACGCTCTTTCAGCGTTACCTATAATGCTACCTCCTCCCCCTCACTCCCCCTCTCTGTTGGGGTCCCTCAAGGCTCCGTCCTCGGCCCCTTCTCTTCTCCATCTACACCTCCTCCCTTGGCCAACTCATACACTCTCATGGCTTCAACTACCACCTATATGCCGACGACACACAAAATCTATCTCTCAACCCCCCACCTCACCCCCTCAGTCTCCACCCGACTCACACACCTACTGAGCGACATATTAGACTGGATGTCGCTCCACTTTCTTAAACTGAACCTCTCCAAAAACCGAGTTTCTTGTCTTCCCCCCAGCCTGGACACCACCCCTTATTGACTTCTCCATCATGTCCAAGAACCACCATCAAACCCGCCCCGCAGGCCAGAATACTTGGTGTCATTCTGGACTCCAACCTATCCTTCCAGACCCAAGTCCAATCTTTAACAAACTCGTGCAGACTCCACCTCCGCAACATCGCCAAAATCCGCACGTTCCTAACTCCAGAAACCACTAAACAGCTCATCCACTCCCTCATCATATCACGGCTCGACTACTGCAACTCCCTCCTCACTGGCCTGCCTCGCCACTGGCTATCCCCGCTTCAGTCGATCCTGAATATGGCTGCCAGACTCATTCACCTTTCCAACCGCTCCGTTTACGCCACCCCCCTCTGCCAATCCCTCACTGGCTTCCGATTGCGCAACGGATGAAATTCAAAATCCTAACACTGACGTACAAAGCTGTCCACCATACTGCCCCGAACTATATCACTGACCTAATATCCAAGTACCGCCCAACACGCACACTGCGCTCCTCACAAGACCTCCTTCTCTCTAGTTCCCTGGTCTCCTCCTCCCATGCCGTCTCCAGGACTTCTCCAGGGTGTCACCCATCCTCTGGAACTCCCTGCCCCAACCCATCAAATTATCACCTACTCTCCTCTCCTTTAGGCGCACCCTGAAAACCCACCTCTTCAGGGAAGCCTACCCCACCCCCTGCTAACTTGCCAACCTCCTCCACTCTGCCTACCACTCCATCCCCCACAGCTATCTCCTCCTGTGCCACCATCCCCTCCCTCCTAGATTGTAAGCTCGAAAGAGCAGGGCCCTCGATCCCCTCATGTTTTGCATTGTATTGTATTATTATTGTTCTGTCCCCCATTGTAATGTACAGCGCTAAGCAAACTATTGCCACTTTATAAATACTGTATAATAATAATAATAATTTGGGAGGTTCTCCTGTGCTAAAAAACACTTCTAAAGGCAAATGTACATAAACACGCATAAACGCGTTATGCAAACGCGACTAAACAGACTTTTTTTAATCTACGTTTTCCAGCAGTCAGTTTCCATCGTTCAGAAGTGTCCCGTGTATATGGGGTCTAACAATACAAAGCAAAGGAAAACATCTCAATGATAGCAATAACTTCAGCCATCCCATATGCTGTTCAGCAGTGACATCTAGTGATCGTTTTGAATACTGACGGTTTTGTTGCTGTCTGTGCCCTTGTTACACTGAATCACTCTCTGTATTTGCCCTGTTTATGATTATCATTGAAAATGAAAGTAAAAGAAAACCCCAAATTTTGAGTTGTCCCCAGGAAAGTAATCGAAGGGAAATCTTCCAATGGGATTGTTAGCTCTGGTGACCTGGGATTCCCCTAATCTGCAGGGATTTCTTCTCACTTTCTGCTTTCTCTCTGGGCCAGGAAGTGAAGGTAAATCTCCCCAACAGTCGTGCTCTTGTGACGTAAAGCCAAATCTCTGCAGGACCTCACCAGATATAAATCTGCCTCATGCTGCCAAACAAACCTACTTTGTCTCTCTTACTAATATCTTGTTATCCAGTCCTCATCAGCTCTTTTCTACCTTTAACTCTCTGCTTTGTCCCCCACCCCCTCTACCCACGAACTCACTAACTGCCCAAGAGATTGCCAATCACTTTAAAAACAAGGTTGATGCAATATGTGATGACCCACCCATTGTACAGATATCTTCCCCACTTAACGTACTTTGTCTAACAGCCCCACCCCACAAGCCAGAGTACTAGGTGTAATTCTAGACTCCAATCTGTCTTTCCTGCCCCAGATCCAATCGCTGACAAATTCATGCAGACTCCACCTCCGCAACATCTCCAAAATACGTCTGTTCCTAACTCCAGAAACTACAAAGCAACTCATTCACTCCCTTTTCATATCACGACTTGACTACTGTAACTCCCTCCTCGCCGGCCTACCCCAACACAGGCTATCCCCGCTTCAGTCTATCCTGAATTCCGTGGCCAGACTCATCCACCTTACCAACCGCTCCGTATCCGCCACCCCCCTCTGCCAATTTCTCCACTGGCTTCCGATTGCCCAACGCATAAAATTCAAAATACTAACATTGACGTACAAAGCTGTCCATAACACTGCCCCACACTACATCACTGACCTGATATCCAAATACCACCCAACACGTACTCTCCACTCCTCACAAGACCTCCTACTCTCTAGCTCCCAGGTCTCCTCCTCCCATGCCCGTCTCCAGGGCTTCTCCCATTCCTCTGGAACTCACTACCCCAATCCATCAGACTGTCACCTACCCTCCTCACCTTTAGGCGCACTCTGAAAACCCATCTCTTCAGGGAAGCCTACCCCACCCTCACCTAACTGCTGATCTCCTCCACTCCCCTCACCACTCCATCCCCCACAGCCATTTCCTCCTGTACCACTCTCCCCCCTCCCTCCTAGATTGTAAGCTCCAAGGAGCAGGGCCCTCGAACCCCTCGTGTATTTTATTGTATTGTTACTGTACTGTCTCATGTATTGTCTCCCATTGTAATGTACAGCGCTGAGCAAACGTTTGGCGCTATATAAATACTGTATAATAATAATAATAACAGCACAGCCAACACTTTCCTCTTTTGACCTGGCTACTACTGAAGAGCTTACCAAACTTTTCTTAGATGCCCCCATAAGCAACTGTTTCTTGGATCCTGTTCCCTCACAACTTCTACAATCACCCTCTTCTTCTAACCTATGTGCTTTCACCCACATCTTCAATCTCTCCCTCTCTACTGGCATCTTCCTCTCCCCTCTAAAGCATGCACAGATCACCCCCAAGCTTAACCCCATGGCGCCGCCGCCTCTCGTCCCTTTAAGGGTTTCAGAAGCCGGGAGGCGGGGCGGGGTTTTAGGGCCATGTGACCACCGTGATTCGAAGTCACAGCGGTCACATGATCGGGAAAGGTCCTGATCGCAAGAGGAGATTGGGACCTTTCCGTGAGTACCGGACATGTGTGCTGGGAGCGCGCAGGGCACACGCTCTCAGCACTTATGTTTTTCTTAATTGCACGCAAATGTGCGGCCACTCGGCGTCAAGGCCCAGACGCCTGGAGGCCGCATATTTGCGTACGGCAGGTGCCAAGTGGTTAACAAACCCTCAATGGACCCCACCAACCTAAACAACGTAAGACCCATCTTGTTGCTCCCATTCACCTCTAGACTTTTAGAGCTCTTAGTCTGCAACCATCTTAGCTCCTACCTCCCTGACAACAACCTTCTTGACCCCCTACAGTCTGGCTTTCGCTTGCAGCACTCCACAGAAACTGCCCTACTAAAACTCACTAACGATTTACTAACTGCTAAAACCAATGGCCACCACTCCATAGTCTTACTACTAGACCTCTCCACCGCCTTTGATACTGTTGACCACCCGCTCCTTCTCAGTAAGCTCCACTGCCTTGGTCTCCGAGATTCATCTCTATCCTGGTTCTCCTCCTACCTATCACAGCACTCCTTCAGTGTTACCTTTAACTCTGTCTCCTCCTCTCCACTTTCCCTTTCTTGTAGGGGTCCCCCAAAGCTCTGTTCTTGGACCCCTTTCTCTTTCTATCTATTCCTAATCTCTTGGGCACCTGATAACCTCCCATAGCTTCCAATACCATCTCTATTCCGATGACAGCCAAATCTATCTCTCTACTCCTCACCTCACTCCTTCAGTCTCTGCTTGTATTACTAACTTAAATATCAGCATGGATGTCGCACCACTTCCTTAAAGTAAATCTCTCTAAATCTAAACTGATAATATTGCCCCCCCCATCCCGCTCGTGCCCTCCTCCTTGACTTTTCCAGCAAGATTATAATGCAACTATCAGTCTCTCCCCTCTAGCCAGGGTACTAGATGTCTCTGACCTATCCTTTTGGCCCTTCACCTCTGCAACATATCTAAAGTTCGCTCCATTTTAAATAAAGAAACCACCAAGCTACTCGTTCACTCTCTTGTTATCTCTCGCCTTGACTGTTGCAACTCCCCTCTCAAAGGCCTACCTCTCCGTAGCCTATCCACTCTTCAGTCTATCATGAATGCTGCTGCCAGACTCATCACCTTAGTGCATGGCACCCCTCTCTGTCAATCCCTCCACTGGCCTCCTATTGCCCAACAAATTAAATTCAAACTAACAACAACATACAAAGCCATTCACAACTCTGTAAGCCGTGTACCGGGGGGTGGGCTCCCCAGGATACAGTGAAGTCACGAACGATGAAAGCAACCCCAACACCAGCTTTTGCCACAACAGAATTTTACTTAGATGTGGCAAATAAACACAATCACAAATGCTGGGAACATACAATAAATTTACATACACCCAGCCCAAAGGCTGAGACCCTTGTGCTGCACAGCACGGCGCCTCCTGATGGATGAAGGTAGAAGGTGTAGTAATTTACCTACTGGCAGGCACAACTAAGCTGCCACACCTTACCTGTTATTACCCTAAAAGAGCAGGAATCAGTGTATGGGTGTATGGTATGGGCTAGCCTGCGGTGCAGCACAACAGATTACAATCTTACACAAATCTACAGTATTCCCCCTTCCATAACTGGTCCTGTAGCATGTGCCTGAGTATTCCTTCTGAGCAAAACGCCAGTCTGGCTTGAGTTTGTGGGATTTTATCAGCTCTCCAATGTGAAATGTCACTTTAAGTTGTGGAGTCCTTCCAATGATCAGTAATAACACTTGTGGCCTGACACAAACAGAGACCCTAACTGAACAACTATAGGCCTGGCCTCAGTCTCTAGGCGCCAACACTGAAATGAGGTGCGTGCACGATCTTACTGACCCGGGTCTGCTTTGCATCCGCTGGTGACTCTGAACAGAACAAATGTCTCTCCAACAAACGTGGTATCGCAGTGTATGTTGCTTTGTTCCTCTGCTCTTATCAGCATTCCTGGCAGCAATCTTCCTTTCTCTGAACAGGATCAGGGTCTTGGACACGTTCAGCTTCACTTAGCTGCAGCTCTGGTTACTGAGGAATGCTCTCACACCTTGATGCCATCAGATTCTCTGATCACACGGCTCCTCCATTTACCATCCTCCAGACATGGCTGCTCTCTCTCCTCTTCCTGTACTCTCAACTCTGTGTGAAAAACCCCACCTCTTCATGAATATAGAAATATTTATGCATCCTGAGGCTGTGTTAGGAAAACAGTGACATCTTGTGGCTAAACCACAGAATGTAAGTCCAGATTAATTTACTCCACACAATAATTTACTCCACACAAACAGTGTTCAAATAATGAGAGCTGTTTCCCATCTCACAACTCTGCCCCGAGCTACATCACCAATCTTGTCTCCAAATATCACCCAAACCGTACTCTCCGCTCCTCTCATGATCTCCTGCTCTCAGGCTCACTTGTCCCCTCCTATGCTCATCTCCAGGATTTCTCTAGAGCATCTCCATCCTCTGGAAATTTCTACCCAAGTCTATCTATTTCCTTCACTGGCTGCCTTTAGGCGATCCCTGAAAACTCATCTCTTCAGGGAAGCCTATCACACCTCCAACTAACTGAACTTTTATCACTTCCATCAGCTCATCCTCCACAATTATAACCTTTTACTCCACTTTCTCTATCCTATTAGATTGTAAGCTCCCAGGAGCAGGGCCCGCTTAACCCTCTTGTAATTTATTGTATTGTAACTGTACTGTCTCCCTTTAGATTGTAAAATGCTGTGGTGCTATATAAATCCTGTATAATAATAACAATAATAATGAGACACAGAAAAAAAAAGCTGAAGGAGTTATACCCCTCCCTTACTCTATCCAAAATGAAAAACAAGTGTTGCCTATAGCTCTACTTTAAACCAGGGGCGGACTGACCATTTGGAAACTCGGGCACTGCCCGAGGGCCCGGGGTCAGTAGGGGGCCCCATGAGATGCCCCTGGTACCTTTTTCATAGGCTTTTTTGAGTTTGGGCAAGGACACAGGGGCCCCATGATCCCCTATTGCCCGGGGGCCCCATGAGTTGTCAGTCCACCCCTGCTTTAAACTATATAATATGCAATTATAAAAAAGAGTAGTGGTGGGCAGCTGTTTAGGTACCAGTCACCAAAAGCTCTGTCCCATTAATGGGAAATCACACCCCCCCCGACTGCTGCATGTTAAAGAGTTATCCAGTCTGAAGACAAAAATGGCCCTTGCTTCAACTTCAACAGATTTTTATGAACAGAGAAAAAGAAAAATCTCTGTGTATTCATGTACATTTTATATATACGGTATATATATTCATATTCACAATGGTAGCCATTACACACCAGAAACTTGCCTGGGTGCACTGTGCTGGATGATTAGTAGACTGTTATTGAACGGTGATTGGCACAATGGGTCTATTCATAAAACATTTGTTGCATGAATATCATAATCATTCATACAAGTTGAGCGAAATGTCCCGTATTTTTTGTAAGAGATTAATGCCTATACCATCAGCGCCATCTAAAGGCCAAAATGTGGAATAGTTTTCTAAAATATCTCAATGAGAATACAAAACATATGGGACATTTTGTTCAACTTGCATGAATGTTCCTGACATTTGTGCAAACAAACATTTTCTTAGTAGACCTCCACAGTTAATGCTGAGTTCCAGGGAAACAATGAAATACTCAGATATCATACATATAAGAGAGCTGTTTGCCTACTTTGAGTCTTAAGATCCTAAGATTTACACAGCTCTGATGCAGACATAAACTAGCAGGTGAGGGGACTTGATTTTTCTTTGCTGCAGTTTCACTTTCACTTACATATTTCCTACCTACACCCACTGTGGCTTGACAGTGACAGTAGAAGCAAGGCACTGATGATCTCATCTCTCAGCTGTCTGTCAACATACTCCTTGCGCTGCAGCCAACCTGTTTGGTTCCTTGTGCTGCTTCTCCCTCCACCATTCTGAGCTCTGTTGTACAGGGACTGCAAGAAGCCAACACAAAGTCAAATTCCCATACTTATACTGCCTGCATTTTGGCATTTAAAAAATACTGTATATTTATTGTATTAATGATTTCTGCATTGGTTTATGTCTTTTATATTTGCCTGGAATTCGACTTTAGGGACACATTCATTTTTGTGCCTGTCAGTAATGCTAACAAAATTGTGTGCTTTCCTGACACACACAGAACCGCGCTGGCCTTTAGTAGACACACCGCAGTGCCATTGATTCTTAAAGGAACCCCTAATTCTAATTCCTAATAGACCCCAGATGTCTCAGTGAAGAGTACCTGTCACTGCACATTCTATCACAAGGGATGCTGTTCATCCTTGGGATAGCAATAAAAGTGATCAAAAAATAAAGAGAGTGTAAACAAAATTTTAAGTAAAATAATGCAATAAAAATGTTTTTTTAAAGTGCCTCGTCCTCCCATGCTTGTGCGCAAATGCGAAGGCACATGCCGGTCCCCGCGCGCGTATATGAATGTGATTGCACCACATGTGAAGTATCACTGGGAATGTCCGCAGTGAGAACAATAATTCTGGCACCAGACCTCTTGGTCTTTTAAAGTGTCGCCTATGGAGATTTTCAAGTACTGTAATTTGGTGCCGTTCCATGGGCAGACGCAATTGTAAAGCGTGATATGTTAGGCATCCATTTACTCGATGTAACATCATCTTTTATTTTGTACCAAAAATGGGTATTATATTGTGTTTGTGGACACTAAAATTCATGAAAGTGTGTTTTTTTTTAAAATTGAGTTAGAAAAAACCACTACGCAAATACTACGTGACATAAAAAATTGCAACACCTACCATTTTATTCTCTAGGGCCTATGCTTAAAAACTTATAATGTTTGGGGCTTCTAAATAATTTTCTACCAAATAAATGCTGATTTTTACATGTATGTGAGAAGTGTCAGAATTGGCTGGGGGGTCAAGTGGTTAAAAATATAACCGAGGTTTAATGTTGACTGCTCTCCCGCCTTACAGCACCGGGGTCATCTGTGTGAAACCCAAGCAATGCACTTCCTGCCTGGAGTTTGCATGTTCTCCCTGTGCCTGTAGGGGGTTCCTCTGGGAAAAAAGCAGGAATGAGAAACAGAGATCTATTAGTAAAAATCAGCACACATTACACACTGTTAGGCACACATTTAACCCCTTGATTACCCTG